GATGGCTTTAGGTGGTTTCGTCGACCTCGAGCCACCCTAAACCCTAGTTGATGGCTTTAGGTGGTTCCGTCGCCCCCGAGCCATCAAAACCCAAAATGATGGCTTTAGGTGGTTTCGTCGACCCCGAGCCACCAAAACCCAAAATGACCGCTTTATACAACATATCAATAGGATCAACATATCAATCATATAAAGAACATTTTCAGCATACACAACATATCAATAACTCCATTAATATATCCAGCATATCAATAACTCCATTTTGAGTACTCATCAACATATGAATCATAAAAAGAACATACACACTATGAAGATATCCAATATAATGAGTACTCATCAATAACTCCAAAATATCAATAACTCCAGCAATATATCCAATAATATATTGAGTACTCATCAACATATCACATGAAGATATCCAATAATATGCATCCACATGAACAAAAGCCATACATGGCATTGATTCTTAAAGTACATCATCAAAGTAAGATCACCATTGTATCATAGGATGCAAGAACACACACATGAAGTATCTAGTTGCCACTTGCATAGAAGTACCTCCTCCATCCACTATGTGTAACACCAGCACCTGTCCCAGCAGTAGATGTGGATGGACCAGATTGCCTTGGGGCAGAGAATGTACCTCTCCCTCTCCCAGCACCTCTACCAGCACCTCTCCCAGCACCTGCAGCTGCAGCACCTCTCCCAACACCTCTACCAGCTCCTCTCTCAGCTCATGTCCCAGCACCTCTCCCAGCACCTCCTGTTCCAGCTGTTGGTGTTGTTGTAGGAGCTGGTTGAGAAGTTCTTGCTGCTGGTGTAGTAGCAGCAGCACCAGCATTGGGATTCCTTGCAAGAGGCTTGCATAAACAAGAAGGAAAATGAGTTAGTACTTAAAAATGGAATGTACAAGAAGGAAAACATGTTACTACTTATAAGAGGATTACCACATGTTTGTTCTTCCTCAAAGCCAGCTCAGGCTTCAACTGCTTCATGCAGCTAGTGTACCTATGTCCTTGTAGTCCACAATTGCCACATGTTATAGTCCCCATTCTGGATGTGTCCTTAG